GGGGGTCCAGAAAGACCAGTTAGCAGCGTTTTACTGCATTTTTCAGCATTAGATCGCTCTTACAGCTAAAAAAACTGTTCTATAAATCCACTAGTCCTGTTTTTTTCCAGCCAAAAACGTTGTTTACAGTCTATGTGTGCATGGACACATAGGATAACATGCTGGGGGGTTTACTAGCTGTAGAAAAAAATGTCAAAAGCCAAAAACAGCAGCTGTAAAAACGTCAAATGTGCATGAGGACTTAAGTAGGAAATATTTTACTTCTCACCATTCCAGGGGATGTTCTTTTATTTCTGCTGATGTGCAGTTTAAAAAGCATAAAATGATTGTTAATGTGTTAGTGCAGTTTAAAACACACATACACAAAAAAAAAAAAAAAAAAAAAAAAAAAAAGTATCCCATACAGTACTCAACTATTTATAAAATAAGTAATTCATTAAGTGTGTGTCCTCTCAGCATGGCGCTGTGCTCAGGTAGGCTCAGAGTCTTCTCACCTGGCCTCTGTGTGCTGGAGGTGCAGACAGGGACATAGCAGGAAGGAGACAGCGCAGACATCCAGGAGACTGGCTCCCAGATTAGAGAGGTATGTGGGTGGAACCATACACAGGATGTGAAGCCGGCAGAGGGGGGAGGAGATGGAGGAAGGACTGAATCACAGGCTCCAGGAACTTTTCACCTCACTAATTCTATTCAGTCCATGTGCTCTGCCTCTTCCATGGGTTAAACACAAATGTGGCTTTACAGCTGCGCTAGGGTGGACATTAACCTCTTGTTCACCGATATCTGGACTTCCTACCGTTGCTTTTTAAGCCATAATACTGCCTCTTACAGTTGTGCTTACAGAACAAACGTGAGCCCTTTATAATCCCAAAATGAATATGAACAGTTTATAAAAGTTCAGAAAATTGGAGAGGTTTAAAGACTGCCACACACTTACCGATGTGATCAATCGATCATTTGATGCAACTTAAAAAAAATTCAAACTGAACAAGAATCGACAAATCTGTGAATCTGTTCAATTGTTTTAGAGAGCTTTCAATGGGCTAGGATGGAATTTTATTGACTGTTTCAATATCTGTGTGTGTCAAACAACTGATTGTAATACAGATGGAATTAATGATCGTTTTGAATAGATCATTTCAAGTAGATCTTATTTTCAGTCGATACTGTATGTGCCATATGGTTACGATTTTGATTGATGATGAATTGCTTGTTTGTAATTGCTTTTCCTAGATTCCTAAACATTTCTGCCTGACAAGTCGATCGTTAGATCAACGTCTGTTGAGCAAGAACAGTCATAGATGGATCGAAATTTGGCTATTTCAGCAGGGACCATCCAAATTTTGATGCATCTCTGGCCAGCTTTAGAGTACTCAGGTAATTTTGCTTGGACTTGTGCTGTTTATTTCAATATTTTCGGCTAAACATACTGTCCACCGCCCAGCGTTAACTCTACGTAAACTCCAATTAACTTTCTTCAGCAAAAGCTGGTTCTTCACTTGCATATTTTCAAACAAATGTTTGTATGACTATTTGTATGAACCTTCCTACAATCCTATGAACCTTGTACATTCGATAATAGGATGAATGTCGTTCAAATGTACTTCAAAATTTTATTTACTTTTAACATTAAATGTAATTTTCTGAACGAAAACCACATACGCTGTTAGAAATTTCATCAAAAAAAATTTGCCATCCATCCTGTTCCTTTGAAGTTTCTTGTCACTGTGCTCAAAAAGAAGGGGAGAGGCAGTGGCATCCAGATTGGCTTCTGGCAACGCTTCCATGTTGTGAGGTTGCTTTGGCAATGCGTTTTAAAAACTTGAAACGCATTGTCACAGCAACCTCATCACCTCACAACCTGGAAGTGTTTCCATGAGGCAATATGGATGCCACTGCCTCTCTCTATCATCCAGCAGGTCTGCCACTGCACTGTCAGCAGTGATCCAAAACACAGTTCCTGGCTCACCAATGCAGCCCCATCGCTTGCCACGAAAGGCTGCTTGATGCCATTCTTATGCTGCAAGTTCTGATATGCGACTTTCTCCCAGGGTGTTTATGAGTTCATTTTAACCTTTTTTTTTTTTTTTTATAAATGGATTACTTTGTTTCCTATTTTATCTTTGCTCAGTGTTTGAACTTCAAAAGACCATCTTCAGGGTGCCACGTGATTTTTATGATCCTGTCCTTGAACTGGATTATTGTGCTTGCTTGCTGAGACCCTCCTAGTAGCAAGTCCCAGAGAGAAAGTTATGCGTCTTTTTTATGTGAACACTTCCTTTGTGTAGGCTCCACTCCACCATAATTGGAAGCTTACACAGGGCTGTGTTACATCCCTCCATGTGACAGCACTTGGCCAAGCACCAGTGTTGCTGGAGAGAAAGTAGGGCAAGTCACATGCGCCTCCATACTCAAAAATAAGGAGTATTTCTATCACTCCCCACAGAGTGCCAGAGACCAAAAAGGCAAATAGGTGTTGCTGGGGTTGGGGCTTATTAAAGCCAACCTGTTGACTTTCTGTGCCCTGCATCATTCAGTGCCTAAACCAGAATTTTTATTTTACAGCTACCACAGGCTTGCTCTATAAAAATAAATATTTTAATGAATTTCTAAAGGAAACACATCAGTTAAAGCTGTTTGATTTTCTATCCACAGAGAGGGTAAAAGACTACGAGTACTGAGCATCCCCAGAGAGGCTGAGGTGAGATATGACATTTGGTCCTCCAGCCACTGTTTCGGGGACAAGTGACTTTGGCTGTGGCAAGAGCTATTTTCAGCAATGTAGTGGAAATTCAGCAAGGATTCCTCCAAATAGCAATTAGGACAAAAAAAGGTATTGTTAGAATACTGCCACCATATCAAAGACAGCATGGATTGTGGTTGACACTTTGAAGAGCGTGGTTATGAAAATACATGTGTATCCACATAACTACGTGAGATGCTTTATAAAAATAAATTTGTACGTTTCAAAAGATGTCATATCGCTTGTTCTTTTTGTGGTTACTGGAAACCACAATTAACCCTCCACAGCCATCTGTGTGACCTCTATGGTTTGCCGGACAGTGCCTTAAACGAACACAAAGTTCAGAAAAATCAGAGCTTCTTACTCTTAGTGGCAAGCTAACTAGGAATGAAAACACCACTTAAAAGGTAAACTATCATACGTATGCAAATTATATATACTATATGTATGTATGTATATATATATATATATATATATATATATATATATATATATATACATACATACATACACACACATACAGTTGCAATAAAAAGTATGTGAACCCCTTGGGATTACGTGGAGTTTTGCATGAATTGGGCATAAAATGTGCTCTGAACGTCATCTAAGTCACAACAATAGAAGAACACAGTCTGTTGAACATGATACTACACAAACATTAGATGTTGCCATGGTTTAATTGCACATAACATGTAAACATTCACAGTGCAGGGAGGAAAAAGTATGTGAGGCCCTAGCTTAATGACTTCTCTCAGAGCTAATTGGAGCCAGGAGTGAGCCAACCTTGACTCCAATCAGTGTGATGATATTGGATGTGTTGCTGACAGCTGTCCTGCCCTTAAAAAACACACACCTGTTTTGGGTTTACTGGTTTCAAGAAGCACTGTCTGATGTGAACAATGCCTCGCAGAAAAGAGCTCTCAGAAGACCTACGATCAAGAATTGTTGACTTGCATGAAGCTGGAAAGGGTTACAAAAGTATCTCCAAAAGCCTTGATGTTCATGTGTCCACGGTAAGACAGACTGTCTACAAATGGAGAAAGTTTAGCACTGTTGCTACTCTCCCTAGGTGTGGTCGTCCTGTAAAAATGACTGCAAGAGCACAGCGCAGAATGCTGCATGAGATAAAGAAGAATCCCAGAGTGTCAGCTAAAGACCTACAGAAATCTCTGGCACATGCTAACATTTTTGTTGACACATCTACAATAAGGAAAACGTTAAAGAAGAATGGAGTACATGGGAGGACACCACGGAGGAAGCCATTGCTGTCCAAAAAGAATATTGCATCATGTTTGAAGATTGCAAAAGAGCACCTGGGTGTTCCACAGCACTACTGGCAAAATATACTGTGGACAGATGAAACCAAGATTGAGTTGTTTGGGAAGAACACACAACACAATGTGTGGAGAAAAAAAGGCACAGCACACCAACATCAAAACCTCATCCCCACTGTAAAACATGGCGGAGGGAGCATCATGGTTTGGGGCTGCTTTGCTGCCTCAGGGCCTGGACAGATTGTTGTAATTGATGGGAAAATGAATTCCAGAGTTTATCAAGACATTTTGCAGGAAAACGTACGACCATCTGTCTGCCAACTGAAGCTCCGCAGAGGATGGGTGATGCAACAGGACAATGACCCAAAGCATACAAGTAATTCAACAAAACAATGGCTGCAACAGCACAGAATACGCCTTCTGGAGTGGCCCAGTCCTGACCTCAACCCGATTGAAATGCTGTGGCATGACCTTAAGAGAGCGATTCACACCAGACATCCCAAGAATATTGCTACACTGAAACGGTTTTGTGCAGAGGAGTGGTCCAAAATTACTCCAAATTGTTGTGCAGGTCTGATCTGCAACTACAGGAAACGTTTGGTTGAGGTTATTGCTGCCAAAGGAGGGTCAACCAGTTATTAAGTCCAAAGGTTCACATACTTTTTCCTCCCTGCACTGTGAATGTTTACATGTTATGTGCAATTAAACCATGGCAACATCTAATGTTTGTGTAGTATTATGTTCAGCAGACTGTGTTCTTCTATTGTTGTGACTTAGATGACGTTCAAAGCACATTTTATGCCCAATTCATGCAAAACTCCATGTAATCCCAAGGGGTTCACATACTTTTTCTTGCAACTGTATACACACACACATATATATAAAAAATTTCCAATGGGGACACTTCTTCGAGTGACAACTGTCTAAGGAGGTATTTTTTTTTCTCACTTTTTGTTGTGACTGGAACAGGAAGTGGAGGTAAATTCCCCAAAAGGCAAAAAAAAAAAAAAACAAGAAAAAAAACTTTTAGCAATTTCCTACTCCATTCAAAGCAAAACAAACTTCTGGCTTTCGCTTCACTTTGACCTGTACGAGTTTTAGCTCTTTAGTCAATCTCACCTCCGCTTTGTACATGCGGATCAGGCCTTGGTTGACTTTAGCCCAAGTTGGGACAGCGCTGATATTCCAGAGTTGGTTGGAGTGTTCTGCAAAAGGTCCCGTCTTCATCTGAAACATTAAACAAAAATAAAAAAAATCTCCAGCAGCAAATAAAGAAGTCAGCAAACAAAGACCATCATTTTTCAATGTTTAAGACTCATTTAGGAACGGCAACAGTTACAACTATGAATATCCTCCAAGAGAATAAAGCTGCTGACCCAACATGGATGCTCCTTTTACATTCTTTCCTATAATTTTCTACATTTACGAACCCAGAAGACCACTCTAATTGCCTTTCAGGACATGGGTTGCCAGACATGTTCTGGACAAAATTATCAACAGTCATGAAGTTATACCCCAAGCTAGCTAAACACAGCTGGATTGAACATGATCTCAGGTGTATGGGAAGCTCCTGATCCATTGGGCATATGGTAAAAGCAATCAGCAGAAAATCATAACTATTTCTTCACCTTTGATAAGCCTATCAGCCCTCCTTGCAAAGTTTATAGAAAACTCCTTCAGTTCCCTGCAAACAAACTACTTTTCCTGAAAGGAGTTAGATTGTGCATGCAAAAACAACCAGTTAGTGATGGAAATGTAGAGCTCTCAGTATAGCAACATCATGTGAAAAGAACATGTGAACATTGGACCTGCAACAATAATTTAACCCTGGTCAGGAGGCTGACCTCTGGTACATTCAAAGTTAAAGAACGGTTTACTTTTACATAAGTGAAAGTTATAGAAAACCTGTATTGAATGGAATCATAAAAATAGTGTAGAAATTTTGGCTTGTTACTGATGAACCAACCAAAATTCAACCAGTGGGTGGCCCCATCATGATCCTCCCACCTGACATCATTCTACTGAAAGATTAAAGGGGCTGTGCACAACAATTGTCACCCAAATATCAACTGCATCCAATCAGATGGATGCTGTTTGGGTATTTTAACAGCCAGCAGGGCTGGCTGTCGAAATGCAATAGCCGCAGTGGGAGATTCATCTATTCATGCTGTATATCGTGGTTGAGAGCTGAACGAAATCTAAATGTATGTGGCCAGCTTAAACAGCATTCATACTTTTAGAATAAGCATGGAACACAAGTTATTCCAGACAGCAAGCACACATAAACATAGGCAGGAATGGTTTCACCTGACATGAAATGTAAAAAAATTCTTTGTGATGAATCTTTTGATCATGGCATCCTTACCAGACAACAGAGCCAACGATGGCAGCACAGCTTGATCAGGAACACTAGTTGAACCCCTCTCCCAGCCTGCTGATTGGACATCAAAAAGTAGCAGCAGACTGATAAAGTCATCCATCTGCTCGCTCTGATCTCTCCCCCTGTCCATGTCCGTATAAAGGGCAGAGGTGACAGAAGGCTAATAAATAGGTGGCACACATAACAGGAATCCCCAGGGCTTATGCCATAGTTTGTAAACATATTATTGCAAATGTCAGAATTCAGACAGGGCCCCTCCTAAAGAGATGTGATCACTGCTATGTTATGCCAGTCTACTTATGGGTCTAGAGTCTTCAGCTTTCTCTACTGGCTAATCAGGGATGATGTAACGCTGATGCATGCGCATTGGAGTTACCTGTCCCAGCACTTATATATATCCACACTAAAGCCAGCCATACTGTAGATGCATCGAATCTTGGCTGGTTCAGCAAGGAATGGGCAAGATGTGATCCAACCATGGGCAGGCTGGTTGAACTGAAGTGGATTCATTGATCAACCTTAGAACACCATTGTGTTCTGCCAGCAGGGAAGGCTCCATTTTAGCAAAACACAATAGCGCTGCAGTATGGATTCCCTAATCAACACTGACTATGTTGATGGGGGAATCCAGCAATTTTCTTTTCTCCCGCCTGTGATGAATGGAAAGAAAACTGCTTAATCTATGGGCTGCTCTAGTTGCACAAGTGCAGTTGTCATAGGAAAAACTGCAATAGGAAAAATGCAAGCAGGTAGGGAAGAGTTTTTTTGGCAGAAGGGACATAGGGGGCCAATTCACCCCAGTTCGTTGATCTGCATTTTAGCGCAGTTGTAAACCTGAAAAACAATTTCTAATGTGTCCTACTCACACCATAACGCTGTGTTGACCTGTTTTGCGCTAAAAGGCAGCATGTATGCATTTTAGTGCAATGCAACGGATGTAGGTGGATGCAAGTGGATGTCAACAGAATGCACAGGATATCCTGTGAAAAGGCAGTATACTTTAACGCACAATAAAATGCATGTCAACAAATGTCAAAATGTCAAATAACGCTTAAGTGTGTGCTAATGGATGTCAGCCCACCACTAAAATGGATGGAAATGTACATCCAGTTTAGCGCAAGACAGAGTGAATTGGCCCATGATCTTCTGCCATAAAAACCTACCTGCGTTTTAAGACAAAATATGGTACTACAGTATAGCCAGCTTGGTGACCTGACCTTCTTTTCCAGTTAGGCAACAAAGGTAGGTCACCTCCCTAATGCCCAGCATGTGATTAGACATCAAAGAAGCAGCAGCAGACTTATGAGGTCACCCCTCTGCTCTCTCCTTCTCTCAGTACTATCCTAGCACTGCCCCACCCTCTCCCAGTGTGTGGTGCTGTGTAATGGATCACAAAAGGATGAAATCAAGTCAAATTTATTTTTAAAAATACATTTAATGTGTTTGTAATAAAAATAACTTCAATAATTTGTGTTATTATCTATGCCTGAAAATGAGCACTAATTGCTATATTTTTGTAAATAAAACATAACTTGATTGGTTGGAGTGCCTATATCTTCAAGGAGTTCCATAAAGAACTATGAATGTGCCCTCATGTGTGTAGTGTAGTCCACTAAATTAAATTAACAGCCACACAATCTAGAGGTGCACTGAGCAACACTGTATTCTTTGACCATCTGCAGTATTTTAAAGCAACTGTTCATGTAGCATGGTCTGGGTGCTTTTAAATATTTACCATCTGATTTAATATACATAAAGAGTGAGATGCAATGCACTGCCTGGAGCTAGGCCATTGTAGTTTTACTTGTGTAAAGTCCCAGCTTTCCCCAGACACTTCCTGGTTAAGCTGCCAGTTTCCTTCCTGAATTTCCTAAGATGACTCTTTCAGTTCTCCGATATCATGAAGTGACATCACCCACACGTCCCAAGGCTCCTCCCACTATTCCATACATTTTTTTAACCACCTATGCTTTGGAGCAAGGCTGATTACATGGTTTGAAGAGCCAGCCCAAGTTAAAAAGCCTGCCCCTACCTACAAACCTTGAAGCCTTGCAGAAGGACTCTTACTTTCTCGGTGGAAACAGTGTTCCCTTTACTGAGGTCCAACACACCCTCTTCTGAGGCAAACCTATAGCTCAGCAATTAGCAAAGATCACACCCCTTGCTAATTGTGGAGCTATAGTTCTGACACAGCAGGTGTTGGGTCAGACCTCTGCAAAGAGTCCACTGCTTCCACACAGAGAGCTAGTGTCATTTCTAAAGCATGCTGGTAAGGTACAGGTTTTTCTGCTTCTATTGCTGCTTCTTAAATAAAACAAATGGTGTGATTTTTCACAGGTTTTGTCTTGATGTATCTACAATGTATTTAGCTGATGTACATTTAACCACCTCCTGTCCGCCCGTTGTATATAAACGGCCGGGTGGCCGTTTATAAACGACCTCCCCGCACCTTGCTTGTGCGCGCTCCCTGGGAGCGTGCAGCACCGCGATCCGGTGCCCGCTGTGTCCTCCTAACACAATGGAACACCGATAGTCGGACGGGACCTCTGTACGAGGTCCTGATCATGTGATCACTGATTGGCCAATCAGTGATCACATGCAGAGTAATAAGCAAGATGTCACTTGTGACATCATTGCTTACTACATGTGAAATCTGTAAATGATCACAGAGGTCACATGGTACAAGGCTATTCACACCAGCCTTGTACCATGTGACAAGCTGTGACCAATCACAGCTCACTCAGTAGTTCTCAATGGCTGCAAGAATGCAGCTAGAGAGAAGGAGAAATCATTGCTTTTACATCCTTTATGGATGTAAAAGCAATCAGTGTAAAAAAAAAAAAAAAATCTTCATCACCACCCACAAGTAGTACAGTGTCACTGTACTGCTAGGGTGACAGTATGTAAAAAAAAAAAATAAAAATAAAAAATATTAAACAAATTAAAAAAAAATGTTTAAAAATTATAATTTTTGGTTATAAACTAATTTGGGTTATTTTTTTTTTTTTACTAAACATATAAAAGAATCAATTTTGGCCAAGATTTATGATGAAATATTATTTATTTGCAAAATGTTTATAAGAAAAACACTTTTTTTCAAAATTTTTGGACATTTTAATTTACATAGCAAAAAAAAATTAAAAATCCCAGTGGTGAATAAATACCACCAAAATAAAGCTTTATCTATCTCAGTAAAATACCAAAAAATTCATATGGATACAGTGTTGCATGACCGTGCAATTGTCATTCAAAGTGTGATAGCACTGAAAGCTAAAAATTGGCCTGGACAGGAAGGGGGTAAAACTGTCTGGACTGGAAGTGGTTAAAGTTCAGTTGAGCTTTGAAGTGGTTGTAAACCCTTACATATATCTAGTGAAGTGATACACAGAGATGAAAATAATCATCCTATATATGTTGTACCTATTTATCTACATATGTCTTTCCCCTACATCCAAAGTGCAGAACACAGGATCACACAGGATCTCTCAGCTCTGAAAAGCACGGAGTGGGAAGCTGAAGTTACATCAACCAGGCAAATTCCGAGAGCTGACTGGAGGGGAGGGATACCCCCACTTCACACAACACAGGCACAGAGTTGAGGCTGTCAATCACAGGCTGTACCCTCTCACCATTTTTTTTTTAATGGTGTCAGAAAAACTTGTCAGAAGTGACTCATGCTTACAGCAGCGGAAAGAGGTAGCAGACAGAAATGACGCTTAGTACTCTGGAATGAGTCAATCACACACTGTAGAGGGATGTGCTTTGTTCATATTTGATGGGAATACATTAGACCTTGTTTTCTCCCATCTTCGCACTTCCTACAACCTCACAAACACCCCCTTTCCTCTCTCTCAATCTCTTTTCCACTCTGCAACTGACCGCCTCTATGACAGAATCTCTCCCCTATCCTGCCCTGACCTGGCCACTGCTGTCTACAACAGTTTTCTATCATCCACACTAGACTCACTTGCTCCTCTAACTACACGAAGTATCAGGCCCCGAACATTACACCCTGTTCCTAATTATTATGCAAATTCTATTTAAGTGTCACAAAGATTAAATACTTTGTTTTTCAGTTTAACTCATGGATGGCATTGTGTCTCAGGGCTCTTTTGATCACTGAAAACAATCTCGGACACCTGTGATAATTAGATTGGCCGGTGAGCCCAATTTAAGGAAAAACTACTAAAGGAGGGTGTTCCCCATTATTATGCAGAGCACCATTTTCAAGCAATATGGGGAAGAAAAAGGATCTCTCTGCTGCCGAAAAGAGTGAACTAGTTCAATGCCTTGGACGAGGTATGAAAACAGTAGAAATTTCACGAAAACTTAAGAGTGATCATCGCATTATTAAGAGATTTGTGGCTGATTCAGAGCACAGACGGGTTCGCGCAGATAAAGGCACATTGAGGAAGATTTCTGCCAGATCCATGCATCGGATCAAGAGAGCAGCTGCTAAAATACCATTGTACAGCAGCAAACAAGATATTTGAAGCTGCTGGTGCCTCTGGAGTCCCACGGACATCAAGGTATAGAGTCTTCCAGAGTCTTGCAACTGTGCATAAACCTTCTATTCAGCCACCACTAACCAATGCTCACAAGCAGAAATGGCTGCATTGGGCAGAAAAATACACGAAGACTAATTTTCAAACAGTCCTGTTCACTGATGAGTGCCGTGCAACCCTGGACGGTCCAGATGGATGGAGTAGTGGATGGTTGGTGGACGGCCACCCTGTTCCAACAAGGCTGCGACGTCAGCAAGGCGGTGGTGGAGTCATGTTTTGGGCCAGAATCAGGGGAACAGAGCTGGATGGCCCCTTCAGGGTCCCTGAAGGTGTAAAGATGACCTCTGCAAAGTATGTGGAGTTTATGACTGACCACTTTCTTCCCTCGTACAGAAGGAAGAACTATGCTTTCCGTAATAAAATCATCTTCATGCATGACAATGCACCATCTCATGCTGCAAAGAATACCTCTGCATCAATGGCTACTATGGGGATAAAAGAAGAGAAAGTCATGGTGTGGCCTCCATCCTCCCCTGACCTCAATCCTATTGAGAACCTTTGGAGCATCCTCAAGCAAAAGATCTATGAGGGTGGGAGGCAGTTTACATCCAAACAGCAGCTCTGGGAGGCTATTCTGACATCTTGCAAACAAATTCAATCAGAAACTGTCCAAAAATTCACAAGTTCAATGGATGTAAGACTTGTGAAGCTGCTATCAAATAAGGGGTCCTATGTTAAAATGTAAAGTGACCTGTTAAAATGTTTAAAAAGTTAAATTGTTGTTAAAAGTTTGATTGAAATAGCTTTTGATTTCAGTAAATATGCTGCAAACACAACAAATGACAATTTTCAGTTCTTTACAACCTATAAAGTGTTTTGAAAGTTACTGTGCGTAATAATTTGGAACAGAGCATTGTAAGTGTTTTATGTTTAACAAAAATACTGTTATCATTAGGAGGTTTGTTCAATAAAATTTGAATAGTACTCTTAATAGTTGATAACATGAGAATTATGCTGACTGTTATTTACATCAATTATTTAGGTAAATGAGAAAAATATCATTTGCATAATAATATGGAACACGGTGTACAACTGTGGCAGACTGGCGACACCAGAAATCTTAAGAGACATAGTCGTGCACTGGAGCGATTGTGATGGAAAACCAAATCTCAGCAAGCATTCACCCTATATAAATCTGCTTTCTTAACATACAATTCCTCCCTCCATGCTGCCAGACAAGCCTACTTTGTCACTCTCATCAATAGCTTGTCATCCAGTCCTCAACATCTCTTCTCTACTTTTAACTCTCTACTTTCTCCACCTCCACCCAGTAACTGCTTATGAGATTGCAAAACAAGACTGATGCAATTCATAGGGGCATCTCCACTACACAGACATCTATCCCACTTAGCATACCTTATAGAAAACCTCCCTCAACACTTTCCTCTTTTGACCTTGCTACTACTGAAGAGGTCACTAAAGTTTTCTCAGAAGCGCATCTCACCATATGCCCCCTGGATCCTGTCCCTTCTCAACTACTACGGTCACCCTCTTCTTCTGTTCTATGCTCCCTCACTCATATCTTCAATCTCTCCCTCTCTAATGGTGCCTTCCCCACCCCTCAAAAGCATGCACAGATCACTCCCATACTTAAAAAGCCCTCGCTGGACCCCACCAACCTGAACAACTTAAGACCCATCTCCCTGCTCCCATTTACCTCTAAACTCTTAGAACGCTTAGTCTACAATTGCCTGTGATTGCACCTCACTGACAACAACCTTCTTACCCTTTACAGTCTGGCTTTCGATCACTACACTCCACTGAAACTGCCCTACTAAAACTCACTAATGATTTACTAACTGCTAAAACCAATGGCCACTACTCCGTACTCTTACTACTTGACCTCTCTGTGGCTTTTGATACTGTTGACCATCCCCTTCTTCTCAAAAAACTCCACTCTCTTTCTACTCCTCACCTCGCCCCTTCAGTCTCCTCTCGTATTATTAATCTACTAAGTGACATATCAGCATGGATGTCACTCCACTTCCTCAAACTAAATCTTTCCAAAACGGAGCTCATACTATTCCCTTCAGCCCGTGCCCCCTCTCCTGACTTCTCCATCAAGATCAATAGTACAAAAAATCAGTCCCTCCCCTCACGCCAGGGTACTAGGTTTAATCCTCGACTCCCATTTGTCCTTTCAGCCCCAAATCCAATCACTGTCCAAATCTTGTAGACTTCACCTCCACAACCTCTCCAAGATACGCCCGTTCTTTACCTCTGAAACCACTAAGCAACTTATTCACTCCCTTGTTATCTCTCGACTTGACTATTGTAACTCCCTTCTCATTGGCCTACCTAATCGCAGGCTATCCCCTCTTTAGTCTACTATGAATGCTGCCGCCAGATTCCTCCACCTTACGAACCGTTCCATATCTGCCATCCCACTCTACCAATTCCTCCACTGGCTTCCCATTGTCCAACAAATAAAATTCAAAACATTAACAATAAAATATAAAGCCATTTATAACTCTGCCTCAAATTACATCACCAATCTCGTCTCCAAATATCACCCAAACCATCCTCTCAGCTCCTCCCATGACCTCCTGCTCTGTAGTTCCCTTGTCTCCTCCTCCCATGCTAGTCTTCGGGACCTCTCCAGAACCTCCCCTATCCTTTGGAACTCTCTACCCCAATCTATCAGACTATCGCCTACTCTACCCACTTTTAGGCGATCTCTGAAAACCTCTCTTCAGGGAAGCCTATCCTGCCTTCAGCTAATAACGGAATCTTCCATTCCTGTTAACAGTTCATACCCCACAGTTATTACCTTTTGTACCACCAGCCCCTGCCTCTTAGATTTTAAGCTCCAAGCAAAAACTGAAGGACTATAAGTCAGAGGACCTTTCTTCCTACTTTTTAATAGACACCACTGTCTCATATAGAGTGGTGATGTCAGCACTGTCCAGGCAGGCCAAGTCTGTTTTATAGAAGAAGAGATGGTAATGTATAGTATATTTTTCAATGGAGATCTAAAAAGAAAGATACCTCAAAGGTTCCTCTGTTAAACTTCTTAAATTAAGGGAAGCAGGTACATAAATGTCAGACTTGCCCCAACA